GAACACAAAAATATGCGCTCACATTTCATGCGCTCAATGGCAGCACAAAATGGCGTCACACCCGCACAACAAGACTCACACACACAACAATGCTCACACTCGCCATGGATAAGAGAAATATTTGCATACGAATGAAATGAAATGGAATTCACGCATATCGCCAAACGCCGCCTCGTCGCATATAAATTTCGATCGTTGTGCATTGCTTTCGGCTGTATGCGGTTTGGGGCTTCAGTTTTATTATCTTGATTCATCATCATATTGAGAACATACGAAACATATAGTTCGTCCAGCACAACAAAAAAATGCATTTTTCGATGCCTCAAAGTACTTTAAACACGCCCTCTTTAAACACTCTGCATAATTTGAAAGTGCGCTATATTTATTTACTTATTTAGACAAAACTGTTATAATCGTTTTGAACAGTTTTAATATATTTATAAATTTATTTTATATCTCCCACAATTTTAGGCTAAGAGTCTCCAATGGATTCCTCTATTGATCAGCCTTAAATTTGAACATTTTTTGTCAGATTTTTCCTATACTATTTTTATATATATTTTCTCCCAAATCAGATGCACAGTGAAGGTTTTAAATGCCAATATTATTGCAGATATCTTGAAGCGGTAAACAAGATTTTCATACAAAAACTCTATGATATTCTGTATGATATATTGGTCCGATCCGGCTAACACCGACATATGTATTGCCCGCAGTCGAAAGCCGGTTCCATGCAAATTTGTATAGAAAGAGACCGGCGAAAAGATTTTGTTGATTTTGTTCAAATCAAACTATAAATATATACCTTATGGTATCGAGGATATTATCTCTATGTATATTTATATCTATGGATCTCTTCCCTTTACTTATAAGACAAGGGTATATTTAGTGGGTTTGTCGTAATTCGCAAGTATTTATGTTTGACATTGGGTAGATTGTACGACAAATTGAAGTTCTTGCTGCAAAAGCTTAGATTGACATTATTGTGGCGCTTAAGTACTTACACGCGTTAGATTATGGCCGTGGTCTGTGTGTGTGCGTGCTTGTGGGTGCGAAAGTTGAAAATTTTACACAATTTTATAGCATACTTTTATGCGCGCCGCATAATAAATACGCATACGCCGCTTAAGCTCGCTGCCAGTCATAAATGTAATTGCTGCCTGCAAGTCAGCTTGTAACTTTATGGTTAAATTTATGTATGACTTTAATATTTAAATGCGCTCAAAGTGCACAAGCGTCTCGATGATGACAAACCAATCAACTGAGATATAAATATATACATATATATGTATTTTTTTTATATAAAGAGAGAGATGGAGGGAAAGGAGATCTAAAACGCAACTTGAGAAGTGTCCTTGGCGAGTGCCTCAAGTTGTCTTCCACGTGCAGCACCAAGCATCAACATTATACCCTCCGGTGCGCTAATCTTTGTCTATTTATGTAACTGCACCAAGCCACAAGTTGAGCTGGCATGTAGAGATGCTGTTGCTGGAGCGGACACAAATGACGCATGTCATCTTCACCTGGTAAGCAGTGGGGGCCAGTGAGCAGCAGCAGCATGAGCATCAAATGCGGTGGTGAGTCGTAAATAAGTAAGCTGGCAATGATTATGACAATTGATAAGTAAGATCCCCCTGTGTGGTAACTCGACCCATTTTGGAATCTATGTGAGCTTACGCCAACACAACTTGGCAGGGGAGCCAGCGCAGATGGATGTTATGAAACGACAACTAAGTTGTCAACTATAGTTACGCTTCACAAAATAGTTCAATTATAATCAATTTTCAATATTTTGATTTGTTTCTTAGGCTGTACAAGTCTTTGAAGGGTTAATCCTTTTAAATATTTGCGAACAAGGCTTCGTTTCAGTTGCCAACATTTTTATTTATTTAATTTCATTTATTTTTTTGTTAACGCGAAAATTTGAAAATGAATTTATTTTTGTCGCAAAACTTTATATACTAGAGTTTAAAGTTGACATTAAATTTTGCTGTTCGAACAAACATTTGAAGCTTAAACTATTTTTCCAAACATATCTATACAAAAATGTCTTGACTTTCAACTATTTCTTATATCAATTAGATTAAATATCTAGCAATAAGCTGGTTTTGCTTTGTGTAATTCAAGAATAATCGAATTACAAGCCAAAAAATTGATTTAATTAAGCATGAAATATTTCTGCTTAAGTTGTAATTTGCAAAGGAAGAAACGCAAAGGAAAGTTGCCCAATTTTCTGGGAAGCTCCCACGCAAATGCTTTTGAAGGTGCGGTTGCATTTTCGAGGAATTATTCGCATCATTTTGCAACCAAAAGGAAGAAGTGCAACGGAGCCTGGCAACGCCAATTAGTCAGCCCAATCAACGATTGCAATGCGAGCGCATGCTACATGCAACATGTGCCTCCCTGCTGGCCCCCTCTATATTCCACAGCCGTTTCTTGCTTCTCCTGTTGCCATTGAAAACTGATGCAGCACCTGTTGCACACAGACATCGAACATTTCTCATTCTGATGCGCATCGCTGCAAACTTTCAGATTTGTCAACGTGCAACTGTAATTAAGGCTTCGACTGACATTTTGTGGCTACACTGTGCGAAAAGTTATTTGCCTTCTCACTTTTAGTTTAGTTTGAGTTAAACAATTCACGCGTCCTAAACGGAGATGGGAAAGAAAAATGTGTGCATAGGCATAAATATTTAAGGCTATAAAAAGTCTTCATTAAGTGAAACAATCGAAATATACCTAGCCATATCTAACACAAGTATATACCTACTTATACATATACTACTACTAACAATAATATATTTGGAGCTATATTTTAAAAACTGCTGGCTCACCTTTCTTAAATTTTATTCCGAAATAACACTAAATAGGTATTTGTGTACATTTGTGGGTGTTAATTTGCTTTAAATGATAACTTTTACTACATAATTCACAATTGGCTTAATGCTTACAAGAAACTTCAATAAATCTATCTAAATATAATCAGCCAACATATTTATTTTAAAATCTGTAAAGTCAAATTGGCTTCACATAGGCTATACACGTTATCCACCTTTTTTTCTGCCAGTGTTGATAAGTCCCGGTGTCCTTTTTCAATACATATTGCGGATAAATGCTTACGAGCATTCAGCGCCCGGTTTGAATTGAATTGAAACAAAAAGGTTGCAATATTTGGAAGTGCCCGAATAGGAAATACTCTTTTCCAAGCGCTGCACTGCCTTCACAAGCATTTCTACTTCCTGTCATACCCTCTATGCTGCAGCTGTGCTACTTCTTACCTCAGAGAATTGAACTCGTGAATAGCCGCCATTTAAGGTCTTAAATACGAAAGAAAAACCAATAAAATGGAAAATGTTCTGGATCTGTGAGAGGTTTCTATGAGAGGAATCTACTAGTCAAGTTGGTATCTCTGGTTTTTTTTTTATCTTCGCGATTCGGTCAAAAACAACATCCAAGGATCAATGAGTATCGATTTACTAAATACGATCTTAGTTCCTATAAGATAACTGAGATGCTCTGGATATATCTAAATCAACTCGACCAGTGCTGCGGACCGTGAGTATCGAACATAGATATATACAAAACATGTTACTTATTTCCATTGGACTCGGGTCAACTGTAGCCAGATCTTAAATACCCCAAGTTAGATTTATACAAATGTAAAAGAATAAAAGGGAAAATTGTGTACCGCATACATGTTCTGTTTATGGCTGGAATGTAATAAAATTATCAGAGCATATGGAAAAGCAGACGTGCATCAAAATCCAAAACGGAATCCCTAAAAATTAGATTTTAATTCGATTACATCAATTTGAGACTGGCGGATATATTTGATGGTAACGAATATCTATGTAAATATGTGCATATATTTTCATCGGGTCGGAAAGGCCTTGTTCCGCCAGCTTACATTTCCGTACTTTTTTTTGATGGAGTGCAAAAAAACAAAGAGAAAAAAACGAACGACATGCAATTTTTTAATTTAACTAGTGTAAAATTAATTTGCCATGTCACTCAAATGGGAATTGTTCTTGGACTGGGTCAGGACTTGGAACGCACAGCAACTTCTAATTGACAGCGTTACGCACCAAGAAATATTGCCTCCAATATGTTGGTTGCTTTAAGAGGCGCAATGAACTCGGGTTAGGACAGGGACGAATAGGGTAGCCAGGCGGAGGATTCAGTGGGTGTCCACGAAAGGCCGCAACTAATTCGACAGCGTCGAAGATTTATAAACATTGCCAGCTTGACAATCGCTGATGAATTGGCCAATGCGAGAATCTGTGTGAATAAAGTCAAAATTGGCATCCTTTTCAAGTAAATTTAATATGATTTGATTTGGAACCAACAGTTAATTAGCAAAAGCGCTTTTTAATTAAAGGTTTGCCGCACCCAATCAAGGCCTACAAATTATATTTCCAATTATGTTTTTAAATTTTGATCACCAACATAATCGCAAACATCATCATCGTATCCCAATTAGCAGCATCCTCTGCGGTCACGTCCGCCATTTTGATTTCCAGAACCTCTAGCAAGCGGAAATGAACTTAGTTCCGTAAATAATTAACTTCATTTCGGGATTTGATGATGACAGATACCAAAGGGGCGACTCACTCATTTTATTTGGCGCTATGGAAGTTGTGTGCATCAGTTTCTATTTAAATGTCATACAAATATTTATCTTCAGTTGAAATAAAAACTGTTATGAAACAAAATATATTTAAAAATATATTAAATATTTAAAATCTGCATAATGCATGCATACGTTTTACCTATTTATCTATATATATACGTTACACACTTATAACAAGAACAAAATTCGTTGAAAAATAACTGCAGTTAACAGCATGTTAACTGAATGGTTTTACATTAAATCGCACTGTTGTGCTCAAAATGGCACTGTACTCAAACAGAATAGGTGTTTACAGCTGTAAACAGAATCAAAAGTTATCGATAACAACGCGCCATTTGAAGCAAATGCGTATCGTCGATATTTTAGAAGCAAAAACGAAGCCGAATGAGGCGGACGTGTGACGCTCGCGCGCGCATCATTTTGCATAAGTGCCGCAAAATGCGCGCGTGTTTCAGTTTCTGTTCGAGTAGTCATTTGTTGCTGATGGCCAAGTGAATTTGCGTACAAACAATGTTTGCTAGTTTCGTTCAAATGGTAGACTCAATAAATACTTTATGGAACCAAAATAAATAGTTTCATTCAACCAACCGAACTAGACAACAGCAGCAACAAAAACAAAAACAATTAAAACTAAAAACTGAACGTGGCTGCTGAGGGACGTGCGATAAGAACAACAACAATAACAACAATTCGCCGACTCTGCTCTCACTGCAACAACGACAACAACAACAACAACAACAACAAGCGAAGTGTGTGTGTGTTTTTATTTTAGCTGCATTCTTGCCAGCGTCGCTGCAACTGCGTCAACAGCGACCGCGACCGCGACTGCGACTGCGACCGCGACTCCAGCGTTGAAAGTTTGGAGTACCAAAGACTTCCAAAACGTGGTTTTCAAAGTAATTAATCTATTTATATTTAGCTTATGCATAATAATAATAATCGTAATAAACAAATATTGTAATTATAATTGCACTTGTTCGTGTTGTTTGTTTAATTTTTTTTTACTGTGCTTGTGCTGTGTTGTGTATGTTTACCTCTTAATTAGTTTACCTGCGACACGCTTTGTTTTTGTTTTGTGTGTGTTATTGGTGAGTTGATCTGTTTACCTTTTTGCTTTTGTTATTGTTGTTGTATTTGTATTTGTCTTTGCTGTTCTTCACAGCCAACCGAAGCGAAGCGACAAGCAAACATTAACAACAGCAGCAACAACAACAACAACAATTACGAATGTTGCTCACTTTGCATTCGCGGTTTTCGTTTTCGTTTTTGTTTTGTTTTGTTTTGTTTTGTTTCGCTTTACTTTGCTTTGTTGCATTCTACACGGCACGACGCTGACTGCAGCAGCAGCAGCAACAGCAGCAGCAGCGACAGCAGCAGAGAACATAAACTGCCTGCGACGATCGTTTGCTGCTGCCTGCCTGCTCTCAACTCTCAGCCACTGTTGCCACTTGACAAAAACATGTTGTACCAAAAACTACAGGAAAATGTACCAAATTCGTTGAAAAGGTACCAATTTTATATACGCATACGAATAATGTTTTTAAATACTTATAGACAACTAAGCACACATTTATTTCAAAATTTAAATATATATTTCATTTAGTGTGAAAAACATAAATTTCGATTATTGGCAAATGTACAAAATATTGTAAAAATATCGCAAACGTTTTGGTACACTTGCAGCACATGTGGCAACTGTGCTCTCGTCTCCTCACTCTCTGCTCTCAGTTCTCGGCTCTAAGCTCTTCGCTCTCCAGGCGCTACGCTCTCCATTCTTTTGGACTCTTTTGCACGTTTTTAACATTTACAAAGTTTCAGATCTTTAACTGTCTCATTCCGTTTCTGTCCCTCTCTATCTCTCTCTCACACTTCCTAAGCTGCCAGCTTGGGCCAGCAGCCGCCCACAGCCGCTGTACTGCAGACAACTGGCCATAAACATTTCCTTTTTGGCCAAATGCATTAAATGCATTTTTATGGCCGCCTCGTGCGTTGCAAGTCGTTAACAATGGCCCGGCCACGCCTTTGCCCGCAGCCCAAATTTTTAGTGGCGCCACCGACACTTGACCATTAAACATGAAAACTAGCCGAGCCGGCCAGGTCGAGCACGCCAACAGACCAGTAAGCCAACAAGCCACAGGCCAAGTGGCAACCTCATCGATTCCCATATCGAAATTGTATCTGGCAGATGCGACAACTACGTCTGCTGCCCAATTACAGCTGAGGGTGTTTCGGGGCTTGAAGTTCAGATCAGTTTCAAGGCAAATAGCCTTAATAGATTCGCTCAGCATTATACTTAACGTAGTTAAACTACAAATATTCAAGTAACGCATGAATAGTACTTGTAAATAAGCAAGGATAAAATAGAGTACTTTCGAGTATGCTTGTAGACTTTGGAAATCTCTAGAATCGTCAAGACTTGGTCAAATAAAGCAATCGTGAAAACATGTTCAGCTTCGGTCAGCTTAATTTCGATTCTGACTAAGGGTAAAGCATGATTTAGTCATTATTTTAATGAAGAATTTCTCTGTCTTTCTGTCTCAAATATAACTTAAAGGCTTTCATACATTTAGCTACAGATTAAATTTGTTTTTAATTGAATTTAACTCAACCTAATATACAACACATTATAAATAGATACTCGACTCTATGTTTCAAAATTTCAATTTCCTAAATTTAAATCTTCTTTTAATATTAGTTAGGTACAACAATATCCTAATATTCATTTCTACATAGCATTGAAATATAAACTCGTTGTTCCACAATTTGAAGCCCCCAATTTTACCAATAGTATCTGGAGTACATATTTTAAGCATATTTAATTGTTTGATACCTTTTTTGAATCAGCCGTATTATTGTTAAGAAGTCGAAATGAACCTTTAAAATTCTTATGCTCAAAAGGATTTCCTCTCTTTAGAAACAAATCGAAACGGAATGAACAAACTAATTGAAATGAATTCGTATTAAGATCTTATGAACTTTGAATGAATAAATAAATTATTATTTTTGGTTGAAATCCTAGGCAAACACATTTGAAATGACAGCCGCAACCGTATTTGTTTTTGTTAACTTGTTGATTCGAGTATTTGTTGCGTGTCTTAAGATTAAGGACTCGAGACTATGTTTTAGATGTGACATTTCCCTTGGGTTTTTCTCTCAGTGTAGCTGACGTTCCTAAGTGTGTGCATGTGCAGTTATGTGCAATCTCGACTAGAATTTCAATACCACAGAAAACGCTTGACGTTTGACAATCCAAGCGTTAAGGCGAGTAAAGTGGGTGGGCTTCTGGGCTATGATGTGGATGTTGCGAACATCGCTTGGCGTCTATTTTATAGTGGAGAACACCAGCTGTTAACTTACGTAAGCATATCAATATCAGGCTATGTCGCTTCAGTTATTCTGTGGCAGCGTTTTTGCAATTATGAGTGGATCTTCACAATCTGTAAATCATATGCCAACAATTGTCAGCATAACAATAGAAAGTGCTCAAATTCTATTCTATTGCACTGCATGGTTCAAGTTTCAAATTAGCTTTGAATATAACATTAGTTTATTTTCTGTTTATTAATGTACCGCAGCATTACGACGCATTTTATGGCACTTGTCAACTATATATTATGCACAGCTGTTAAAAGTATTATAGTTTGCTGTACATAATCATGTTAAGTAACATACAAATGTTAGGAAATACTGTAATCACGCTATATTACCAATAACTAGCTTACAGCTAACTTATTTTTTAAAATGTTTAAAAATGAAATTTTCCCGTCTCATTCTAAATGTAACAAGTCAGTTACTCAATTTATAATTATTTGACGTATTAGTATGTTAATTTTTGGGCAGGTTTATTAACATTGCTGCTGTTTACTGTGCGTGGGACTTTCCCGCGCTCGATAATTGCCGTAATCAATTGGAGCTGAGGTCTTCGGGGAAAAACCCTCAGGCTAAAACCAGCATTATGGCCATTCAAAGTGACAATATTAATGCAAATGTGCAGCTATGCTGCTGAGAACATAAAACCAGTGGCTCGAGCAAAAAGAGAGAGGGAGAAACGCAGAGGGACACGTGTCAGGGGACTTTCCCTGCAGCTTTTTTTTTTTGTTAGCCATGTTGGCTTGGTTTTTCCTACAGTTGTGGAGTATGTGCGTTGTTTCTGCTTGGCTTAGTCCTTGTCAAAAGTTCGGCCCGTAACTGAAATTCCCATAGAATGGCAAAAAGCGGTTAAAACTTTTTGTGGCTGTGTTTTGTTTATTTGATGGGTCATTTTACGTCTCGGCTTTCGGCTTCCTGACATGACACAACTCTAGGCGCTGGCATTTAATTTATAAGCTCACAGGCTGGGGATCATTTAAAATAACAACTTATTAATTAAAGTCAAAACCAAAATTCATTTACCAAATGAATATATAACGTAACGATTTGTTGTTGTTGCGTTGCCGCCGTCGCTGAACTTGTGTATGAGTTTTTTTTTTTTTTTTTAAATTACTCGTATAAAAATTTATGATTTATATACACATTATACACAAACACACACGCGCATACAATCTGAGAGACGCACGCGTTTAAGACCAGTTTCAGATTCCGAGTTTGTCGCTGAAAATCTCGAAAAATTTCCGAAGCGTGAAGCGACACTAACAGCAGCAGCAGCAGCAGCAGCAGCAGCAGCAGAAGCACTTTCAGTCGCAGCGACGTCGACAGCGACCGCGACTGCAAAAACAGCTGTTCCGTTTCGAACTTGAAACAAAGTCAAGCGGGCTTGTTGGTGTTGTTGTTGCTGCCGCTGCTGCTGCTGCTGCTGCTGCTGCCAGTTCTCGATCAGCGTCGCGTCGGCCGACGCTGCCGTTGAGTTGTCCAGTCGCTCAGATCGTTGGATGTCGCTTTTTGGCGTGATTCAGTTTGCGATTTAGATTTTAGAATACTCTTAGTAGCTGCTTAAGACGCTTAACTATGTCAACCGCTTTGACTTAATTTAATCAGCTCAGCTTCAAGTGCAGTCCTGGTTAAAAGGCTTGCTTTGCCATCAATTAAAAAAAAAATTATAGATGCGAGCTTTAAGTAATCAATGGCTTAAACTAATACGCGATCTTAACTAATTCTGAGTTTAAATAATGTGTAAATAATTTGTGAGAGAGCTTTACAATCAATTTTTCCAAGCTAACAATGTCAAGGGAGCCTTTCCCTCTGAAATATATTTTGATAGAGAGCTTTTAACTTACAGCCTAGCTCAGTTTTTTGAATCTTTGTAGGTCGTCTAAGTTATTCAGCTTATGATTTTAAAATTGATTTTATCATTGAAAGTCAATCTTACGAATTTATGCTAATCAAGATAATGCTAATCCAGATCAGATGTTCAGAAAAGCTTCGTTGTTGGTCCAAGACCAACTCGAGTAACATGCAATGAACATGAATAATTGAAACTCAATAAACCAAATATCAAATTAATATTTATAAAAAAAAAAGATCATTGAACTCTAAGAAAGTGTGGCAGCTACAATATTACAGTTGAGCTCCAAAATATATTTGAACTGCAGCGCAATAGGGTAAAGGTTCTTAACATGGACTATGCAAACTCTATTTAGGCAGAGCATTTAAAAATGGTTGTACTAACTAAGCTTTGAAATCTCTTGGTAGACGTGATTTGTTTTTTTTTTTTTTGCCTTTGTTTTTGTTTGGCTTGCGTTTTTTTTTATATATATATATCTTGTTGTTGTTCTAACCCAATTGCCCGGAGCCGGAGCCCGGACCGCCTCTCGAATTGTATCTGAATCTGAAACTGACTGAATCTGTGACTGTGACTGCGACTGCGACTTTGAGTCAAGGTGACGTAATGCCAACGCCTAAAGTGGCTTTTATACGCTTCAACAGATCAAGTATCAATTACAATCATTCAGAAAGAGCCGTTGGCAAAGCATTTTTTGTGGGTCATGCATTTGACTGTCCGGCACTTGGCTCTGACTTGACTGGACCTCACTGGACTTGACTTGGCTCATCCTGCTGCCTGCCTGACTGAGATTCCCGTGGCAAGTAGCTGGCAGGAGCTGGCAAACGAATTTTGGTTATTGAATTTGGTTTTTTCAGATCGCCAGTTACT